ATACTTTGAGAATATGACATATTGTTTTCATGTTTTATTGTTATTTCATGTTTGCATTTGTATTCGACTTTCAAAATATAATTTTTTTTTTTTATTATTTGAATGATGAATAAATCATTTTTTTAAATTTTAAAATTTAAAATTTTAGACAGTTTATTTTATATAAATCGATAAGTCATACCCTCTAAAATATTTTTCGTTATCGTTTTTGCTATCTGTAATTTTCCTCTAAGATAACTCAAAAACATAAAAAAAAAAATGATTCTGGTTGTTGACTATGTTGCAAGTAGGCCAGAGAGAGAACACGAACATGGAACTTGTTAAAAATGGTGATAAAAAAATAACTGATAATATATTTTTAACCCAAACATACAAGGTTTTGTAAACATATTAAATTAAAAATTGTTCTTTTAATACAAATTCGAATTAATTGACTGAATTGTTACATACACAAATAAAGAGTCGGGACTTGTTGTATTCGTCCGTTAAATATTTTTGTCACAAACCTACGTATATCTATGTCTCATTAATTTAGGATTTGTTTCAAGACGTGTGCTCCAAAAAACTTATTTTGCGGTAAAATATAAACATTGTCTAATTGATTAAATATAATGATATAATTAGAAGGGGGACTTATAAATATTTTTTTTTAAAGAAGAGAGACTCAGTCTTCCACTCTCTCGTTCCTCTCAATCAAGCACTGAACTTACACTGTATAAAACTCGTCTGGGTGGTTTGGATTATTAAATAATCTGTGACAGAGATGATTCATCTTCATTCGGCTTGTATTGAAAATAAATTAAATTTTTTAATTATTTTAGTATTATTTTCACATACCTACCGTGGTTTATATTTCATTTATATTTTTATACAATAATTACCTTTTAGTGGTTATTGATTATTTTAGTCTTTAAAAAGAGTGATTACTCATCGGCGACAGTCTCGTCTGTGACATTTTATTTTAAAAATTCGCAGCACCATTTTCTATTTTATTATCACAATAATATTAGGGCATAGGTACCTATTTAAGTCCTAACTTTGCTCGGAGAGAGGTACAATTATTTTATTGTTTGAGATAAATATGTGTAATGGTCTTGTTTTCATATTGTTTGATGTTCATTTTAGTTTATTGACGATGATTATCTTATGTGTTTACCCTCGTAAGTTTCCCTGACGACTGTGCTTTTAAAAGTGTAAGACTCGATCGAATTCGCGGACCTGACAAATGAATTAATCATGAGCTGTTCCATGCTGGGACTGGGCTGCAGTTATAAATAGATGCGTGTCGCTCTGGTCGAGTAAAAACGTATTTTTAAAATAGTTATTCATAGACAATAAGTTCGGTTGCGAGTTTGCAGCGATACAAATAGTTTCCTTTATAAATGTGAAAACTTTCAAAGTCGCTCGTTCGCCGTACGACTGCAAGGCCGGCGGAGGCCTTATTCGAACGGTGCGACGATAAAACATTTTTAAGGAGCTAGAAAAATAAAAACAAACCCGCCTATGGTTGTAGTTGTGCCTAGTATATAGTTCTTGGACGGACTCGGGGAGACGAGATTTATCGATTTCATACGCTTTCCCAATTATTGTCGAGACGTCTCGTCTGCTGTTCGACGTGTAGGTACGCCATATAAATAGAAACACTCGACAGTGAAACTACTTATTTCGGCTGGCCGAGCTTCGATATATGTGAACTATTGTGTGCATGAGTCATGTGTGTGTTTGTGTATTGATTTCGTCATATTGCTCGTTAACAAGAACACAACTACGGTAATAAGGTCTAAGGTGTACTACTATGTCAGTTTGTACAGGAGGGTTGTACGTATAGGGTGGGTCTCGCAACGATAATAATTATTAGTCTATTTTTATTAATGAGTCTCCTCCGGTCGATTCATTTGCTATCTCTGTCAGTACCATATATTGTCGTCACAGATGTTTTAACATAAGACGTAATAATATAATATGTAATATAAGTGCCTAGTGATTCTTTGAACAAATTTAACACTCATATTATTTCAATAACTATTAACGTTTCTGAAAATTTTTTTTACATAATTTTTAAGTCGTTTAAATCATTACATTCTTTTATCGTTAATTCAATCGTTAATTAGTTAATTTAATCGTTTTTCATTCTTTATCTCATCAAAGCATAACATTTTTTGAGTACTTCAATCGCATAAAAATCAAATTTTGAGTGAGTAGTTTATGAGTTACAAGCATTTAAAGCCTCGAATATAGAGCGTTATGGCAGTGCATAATATTGACATATTGGAAACGTGTGGCTGAATGGTAAATTTTAATTTCCACACGGCAGCTACACAATATTATGTTCTTGGCTTGGATGAATATGACATTAGTTATGAAATGTAATCACGAACATAATATATTTCATTAACTATTTTCTTCTAGTTTATTTCTAAATTGAGATTTATTTACGACGAGGGAGTGACGCATGCAAGGCGTCAAAGTTGAAATATGTGCAATTTATTATTGTACGGTGTGATTAAAAATACACCGAAGCGATTCCACCCCGCCCTGTTCAGAGTCTTACCTCAAGATTTATTCGTTAGAAAGCATTTCAATACTTAAGTTTTATATTTATAGAATCCTGAGTATACACATTTAAATTTAGCGATTGACTTCGAACTCGGTGCCGAGCGAGTGTATTATTGGTTTTTATAATGCTGCGTTTTATTTTAGCTTTCTTCGGAAAACACTTTACGAGACAGTAAAATTGTTGGAAAACTTTCATCGCCCACCCTATCTCGGATACAGGGAACTGTGCGCAGGCAGTACCTACTTTAGAAAGATCATTTTTCAAAACAGTGACATTTACAGTAAACTTGTTATTAACAAAATCCTACCCACTTTGTAAGTACCGAGGTGTGCACGGAATAGGCTTTCAAGATTTCTTTCAGATTTAAAATAATTACACGAAACTATGTTGTGACGAGATGAACAAAGCGAGATTATATTATATTCTGTTCTCTCAAACTTTTCAAAGTTTTTTTTTTAAATTTTAAATTTACATTTACATTTTATCATATTATTATGTTGTGATTTTTTTCTTGGTTAAAATGTGTTTTAAAAAAATTTCTTCATTTTTTTGTAATTCCATATTATTATTGTTTTTTGATCTACAAACATTTATAAAATTCTGAATTCGATAATATAAATCAAAATTAGTTGAGTAAGAAAATGTCAGACCACTTGTCACAGTGTAGATATAATTAAATTATAATGGAAGTATATAATATGTATAATATATTATTATTAAGTACCTAAAAAGATTATTAAATAAAGTATAGTAAAGTAAAGTAAAGAATAAATAGATTAGAACTAAAATAATAAAGTACTATTCAGTGATTTGATAAACAAAAAAAAAATTTCAATTTTAACATAAAATCCGACATAGTGTTATAGTTGGTTCCTAAATCTTAAATTTCCTTTTAAATCAAAAAAACGATAAAATATGTTTGGACAACCAAATTGTTTCCAAAATGCATATTTATGATTATTGTGAATCATTATTTTGAACTATATACTTAGTATCTACTATCATTCGACTACACTGATTAATGATTACATAAAATAACATCGTAAAATTTGTAGTCCTGATTATCCGGAATTTTTGTTTTCCCCGAGTATGGGAAAATGAGATAACATGGTTGACCACACTCTACGTAAGTATAGGTGCAATACTGCCCTCGGAAATACAAATGCTGTCGAAGCGAAATTTCGAAAGTAAAAATTATGATTGTTAACCTGTAATTATTAAATAGCAAATTAGCTTTTATTATTTTCCATTATCTCGAATATTGCGTACTTACTAGTTACTTGGTATTACGACTAAAACTTACATCATTATAATTGTATACAAATGAATTATATTGTGAAATCGGTTGTTATCTTATATTGTTGACAACATTCAAACAAAAATCAGCAATATGAAAAACAATGGAGATAGATTGATTTAGTTGTTCTTTACTAAAATACTAAAATTAAATTCAGTAGGTATCTTTTAAAAAATCAATAAACTGGTAAATAAAATAAAATAAAACAAATAATACTGCATTGTGTGCCGAATTCTCATAAAAGGTGAAAATTTTTTTTGAAATATTATCATTTCATACTGAAAAATGAAAAACTCTTTTTTTCAACATTTTGATTTTTTAATAATATACCTACTGCCTTTCTGTTTCGGAGGACAGATTAGTTAATAAAATATTATAATAATAAAATTGTAATAATAATATTATCTTCGTCATTCATAATTTGATTTCAAATTAAAATTGAATAAAGGATTTCATTCATAAAGATATTATTGCGCGATTCATGCGTATACTTATTCGTTCAGGGTAATTTTGATTTCACTAACACAAAGTAATGTTGTTTAAAAGTTTAAAAGTTCAAACTTTATGCAATAACTAAGTATGAAAAATCTGAGGTAATAATATTTAAAATATTATTTTATTATAGTTACAGAACAAAATCAACGGACAAAACTTGCAGATGAACGATGAGTTATCTGTTTGTTGCACCTATTACACAATTATTAAATAACAGAAAACTAGGTATATATTTGTACACGTCATTCGGCTGCTATACATACTGGAGTAGTACGTTTGTTGCACCTAATTGTGCATGATTTTTTTTTTTAAATATTGGTGATTAAAAAAAAAGTGTTAAAATTATTTACCAAAAAAATGTACCTATCTGGTTGTTATTTCATAGACCCTTCGCATTCATATCGGTTTGATGGAAAATGATTTTGATTTTATACGTTTTTTTTCTATACAACAACATAACGATAATTATTATAAAATATTATAAAATATAATATATCTATGACGAACAGTTGAGTCTGATCTCGAAAACGTGCATATACTTTGTCTCGTCACAAAATCATAACAACGATAATATAATAATTACTGCTTAACGCTTGTCTTATAACGTTTTCACGTTGCAATAATCTACGATATTGTCGTTGTGTTTCGCAGGAGGTTCCGGTACAGGTGGCACTGCAGCGCAAAAAGAGTCTGCCGGACGTCCAAGTGCCGCTGAACGCTCCGGCTTCGATCACCCGGGAAGAGGTGTCCGTGTTGAGTTCGGCCAGGAGGGAGGAAATGCGCAGGGTAGAAGAAGAAAACGAACGGCTCCGAGCCAACCCACTGCTCTACCTAGTCAGTCCGCACATGAAGGTACGTGCCACAGCAATTTATAATACAATAATGCACCACTCACGCGAGTCATGGCGGCGTAGCTGTAGGCGAGTCCCAGTTATAAAGTTTACCAGTACAACTGTTGGCTTAACTTAATTTTTCACCAATATGCCACTTGATTTCTGGCGAATTCGTTTCGATTCGAATCGCACTCAAGCCCTATTGTTGTAGGGGTGGGTAACGTTGAATTTATTTACAAAAATGTCTTCGTTGTATTATCCACATAGAGCGAAAATTGATTGATAATTCCAAAGCATTGTTTTCGAAATCAACGTTGACAGGAAATCCCGAAGAAATGCGCTCTTAGTATGTGCAAAAGACGTCCATTATATTTTTTTAAATACAATTTATATCAAATTTTCTTTAGCCCCGACAAAATTGTAAATATTAGGATTTACTCGTACACACTGGTGGTTTGACATACTACATCAAATATGTATGCATCTACACGACAATTAATGTTTTTGTACTCTTCAATACATTCAAATCATATTATTACAGTTTATTGCAATTATAATAATACATTAGCCCTCGAAACAAATAGACTACACCGAGTGATCTATTTAACAAAAGCCAATGATTCTATCAATAACTATTAATGCTTTTAAAAATTATTTTTCTTAAACAAAGTTTCCCCAGCAAAATATATTTTTATCATTTTTATATTTAAATTATTTCTACTTCCTTAATGAGTTTTAATTTCATATTTCAAATCCAGATATTTTATAAAGTACTTCTAGGTATAACAATCAAATTTGGACGATTTGTTTATGATTCATAATCTTATAAGTATTTAAATTTCAACTTGAAATGTTACAGTAATAGTGGGTACCTACAAAATGTCGATCCACCACTCCGCTAATCAATACCTTAAAAACTTATCAATTAATAAACAAATTGTCCATAATTTGATTTTATATATTGAAATACTACGAATAATAGGGAAAAAAATGTATGTTGTCTTTCAAAATATTGAAAATATAGTAGGTACAGCAATAAAAAGTAGGAAAAATATCATTTTTGCCCCCCGAAATTGTTCCTCAGTAACGACTTCAAAGCATGTAAAATAAATAATCTTAAAAACGATAGTGTCATATCAATTAGTGACTGTCTCACGTCAAATACATCACCCTGTATAATTTTGACTTTTGGCAAGAAATCAACGAAGTTTTTCAAATGTTATACAAAGCCAAAGTTTTGGAAAAAAACTCAAGATTGTATTATGCATAAATAATTGGTGAACATTTTAAGCATTTAGAATTACTTCTGTTTATGAATGTCAATAATGCCAATGAGGCTTTGTTAATATAACAGATTATTATGTTAGAAAGGGGTGCTGAAAATCCTGAAGCATTTGCATAGGTCAAAGGGTCGTGTGGGACATTCCTGTTTGCTTCTCACCTCCACCCTCGGAGCTATTAATATGTCTGCAAATATCAAATCATATTTCACTAATACTAAGTAAATATATACTATTTAGTAGAGTACTTATTTACCCTAGATCAAACATCAAAGACAACGATTATATTAAAATCATTTTAAACTGTCAGGAAGTTGTATCAGGACGCATAGACTTGAAACTATGATCGTTCGAAAATATTGAACTTGTAGGCTATTAAGCTAATAAGAAAAAAATAATTGTTTTACTAAAAAATTGTATCAATTAACTGCATATTAAAGATCATGTATTAAAGGCGCTTATTTTGATTCAACTAGTCCTAAAAATACCACCCAGGCACTAACTTCCACCCTAAGTCACAATAACAATGCATGTTTTCGGTTCATTTTCAATATACTTTTTTATAGTTTGTGGATTTAGTTTTGCGCAATTGTCTGGAGAATTCTATGTGGTATGTGAAAAAGTAATATTTATATATCTGTAGGGTTTACACCATGTATTGGATTATGTTACTCTAAACTTTAGATACTTGTATTTTCTTCCTGGCCCTTTGGAATCCAAAAAGTGGTCAGAAATACAAGAAATAAACAAAAAAAAAAAATACCTTGACTTATCATAGAAAATCACTGTTTATAAACACAATACGAAAACAATTATAATTGAATGTTGCCTAAGCCAAAAAAAACAAACATTTTTTATGGTTACGTATAAATAATGAATTTTCTCAAAATTACTGTTGGATGGCGGTGATTGAGGTCACTTGAAGCTTTAGATGTTGTACCCTCCAACACATCGTTTTAGAGAAGATAAAACTAAAAAATAAACGCAAATACATAAAAAAAAAGAAGACATATAAAAACACCGCTTACATAATATACATAACACGAAAACAATAACAATTGAATCTGCCTAGACAAAAAAAAATAAGCAAATTTTACGCCCACGTATCAAAATCAAATATGAAGTTATTCTCAAAATGACTCGACCCGATGACCGTCAATAGAGGTGGTGGTGGTAGTGGTGGGGGTGGAGGAAGACTTGCGCTGCCCTCGGCTCTCCAAAACGACCACGCCTATGATTCGGGACACTTTGTCAAGAGAATATTTATGGTGGTACTTAGCCACCTTTAGTAATGAACCGACTATTAGGAAAGTCGCTCTGGAGTATGGTCTTACTCGCGGAGACAAACGACGCAGGGGACCTATTACTTGTAAATTTAGAATGTTCAACTTTTTCTCTTCATTACGTGGGTAGAGTAGGTACTAAAACGGCCCCTGCAGCTCGGTCTGCAGAATGTGACCGGTTCTGTCTAACGTTCGTTGACGTTTGTAAAATATATTTTTTGTTATAATATAAACCGCGTTTTATTATGTTATAATTACAGCTGTAATTTTTCTTTTATATTGTTGTTAATATCATATTTAAATAGTCAGATTTTTAGACGAATCGACCATTTTTAACTTCTTATTAATAATAATTATAAAACAATATAGGTATCTGGTATATCTAATTACAAATCATAATATGTCATCAAACATATCAAAATAAAATTATATATAAGCAGGCCGCAGGGTTATACATTATAAAAACGCAATTTCCGGGCATATTATGTTATGTATTATTATTATTATTTATGAGATCGTAATGCATTTTATTTTTGTTGAACATAGCAAGTCCGGACATGACATAATATGTATGAGCTTAATGTGTTTATTCAGTGGTAAATATTTTTCTTTTACCAAAATGGACTTGTGAAAAGTGGCCAAAATCTATCAGTGTTTCCAATAAAAATTCTTTCAGAGGTGGATTAAGATTTTTTACGACTATAGGTACTAAATATTTTACACCACAATTATGAGTAAATAAGTTATAACACCTTCTCCAAAATATTCTAAATATTAAAATATATAATAGTACTTAAATCCATTTGAATTTTCAGACAATTTATTTTTCTTGGTTTTTAGTTTTTTGGCTTACCTTGAAACATTTTAATTAATGTCCACTAAATTTAATAAGACACAATTTTTTCGAACCATCATTGATAAAAAAAAAATGCATTAAGTACAACATAATCCATTTTTAAATTGATCTTTATCAATAACTGTTTACCATAATATAATGTATATAAATGATGACTTGTGAATTAGTTTTACATATTATGACCATAAATTATAACGAATACAAAATACGTGTACTTACAATGAACCCACTCAAAATCAAAAATATTGAAAAAAAAATTAAAATGTATTACATTTTAATTTAATAATATTTATTACTACTACACAATTTTCTTCCCTCAATTTTTCCACCCCGGGTATCTTAGCCTTCTCTTCCTATTGGGAAATACGCTTCTAAGTCTGTCCAAGTAGAAAATAACGACAACTGTCCGACGATTATAAGGAAATTTTCTCTTTGAAAAAATACTTTTGAGGGCCAAACTAGAGTAAGACCAAATGTATTTAATTTAATTAAACTGATTTTTCCGTCACATGATTTTTTTTTTGGGGGGCCACGAGACCATGTAATTAGGAAGTTTCACTGCATTTGTATATTGTGTATGGGCACTGAAATCGACATTGTATTATGATTATTACATTATACGACTGCCGTACGTGGTGCACAGTTTAGACTTGTTTTAATTTATAGGAGTTTGTATAGTAATATGTGCCGTCCTACCCACCCCGCGCACGGACCCACTACTTCTCCGGCGCCTGTCGCGGGATATCATTTAATCATATATAATAATATACGCAAACGAATGGCAATATGATTTATCGGTTACACAAGAACCGTACGGTATATACCTCCCATATACCTACGCATAATCGTCGTAATAATATTATTATCGTCGTCGTCGTCGCAGTGCCACACTCGGATTGCGGGAAAGCCGCGTGTGCACCGCGTGGTGTACAGTTGTAGCACACTGGGGGAGGCATTAGGTCGAGATCGAATTACCTGCTTACGTATCCGACCCCCCCCCCCCCCCCCTCCCAGCTACCCCGAACCCGACGGGAAAATCGTGTCGTGTCCCCGAGGACTGAAATAATAGTAATAATAGTAATAGTAACAATAATGATAATATAACGTTACGGTTGCGATACAATTAAGAGCGGAGCGGGGTGGGAGGCGTAAAGGTCGGAGCGGAACGGGTAAAAAGTTCACCGCTCGCGATAATAAAGAAACGCATAGGCCGCGTGGCTTATTATTATTATTACTATCGCCGTCGTCATCGTTATTATTATTATTATTATTATTATTATTATAATATGTCCCGAAGTCGACCGTCGTCATCTCTGTCCTTTAGCGTTAAAATTATTACGACTATTATTATTATTATTATTATTATTATACGGTCGGGCGATTTTATTTGTTTACATTACGCTCGACGCGATAACGCGTCTTATCACGGTCGTGTTTGTACGCGCGTTGTTTACATTTTATACGATTCCGATAAGGCTATCATCATCAATATTATAATATTACACTCGCGTTTCATAAAATAATAATAAATCACTCGGGTCGGCGCACATCTCCATCAGTGGAGGCTGAGGTGGAGGACAGGTCTCGGGTGTCGGCGAGA